GGGATGTTGAAATAGAAATGCTCACCTTCACCTGAGCGGCCCAAGCCCTGTTATACTCACATTGCATGAGGGCTCTGAGCCCCAGGCTCGAACCGGCTCCAAGCCGCGCAGACTTCAGGAGGAAGGCTGTGGCTAAGCCGCCTTCGGGGCTTCGGGCTGATTGCGGCTTCGGTTTGAAAAACTGAGGGAAATGGCCTTCTTTTGCCTTTGAACATCTTGATCTGGGCACCAAGTGCTCTGTGCGATTGCAGTGTAGATCAGGCGTGTTACCACGAGAGTGCACTAGCTGCCGCGGTTGGGCTTGTTGGGTGCCTGGGGCTATCTCAGGGAAGGGGTTCAAGCTTTCAAGTGGACGGCTGGTAAAGGCGGCTTCCTTTTGCAGGGATCCTTGGAGCTTAACTGGACTTGAGACCTTGCCCCGAATCTTCATTCCTCGTTGCAGTAGGCAGAAGCTGCAGGTGCCTGCCACGCCGATTAGCGTAGACGCCACGAAGACTTTCAGGAAATTCAGAAAGATCCTTTCGTCTGTAAACTGTAAACTTGATTAAAAGCACGGTCTTCTTGCGAGTGTTCTTGTCATCAGTTCTTGCTTCGGGGCTGGCTTGACCATAACCGCCAGCAACGGCAGTGCAAACGAGCACCTGATAAAATGGTTCCGCACATGGCTTCTCTTGAATGACTCTCTGTGTGTAGAAGTAAACTTAACGAGCCGATTGCAACGGTTCTGCTTTTACCGCACAAGGGGTAAATCCTGCTAAGGAATGTTTTGCAATAAGGCAGCGCCAGTGCCAGCATGAGCACTGAGTGACTGCTCGCGAATGCATACTTCTGCCCCCGAACTTGCAAATCGTTCCGAACTGCAGGTCCTCGCAGACACGGCGGCGTCAATCACCTGGGCCCAGATCCGCGCATGGCAACAGCGAAAACTGCACCTACAATAAAACCCAAACCCTAAACCACAATCCCAAACCTTAAACACTCCCATGACACTGACAATAACTAGATTCTAAAACCGAAAAGATGACTACACTATCAGTGTACTGTCTGCTCTCCTACAAGTATACAATAGCTATGTCTATGTTCCTTCCGAACACCACCCGCTTCGGCCTCCCCGGAGCGAACCAGGTCGGCGAAGCTGCCGAAGAGGGCGATAGCAACCGCATCGTTCAGGATAGACTCGCCTAAAACCTGAGTTGCTCTCTTCGGGCTTCGGGCTTTTGCTCCAAGCTGAGGGTCTGAAGCTTGATGTTAAGGGTGCTTTGGATTTAGGGTGCAAGGGACGACCTCCAGCCTCCAGCGCTTCGACGGACACGCAACCCCCTGCACCGAAAAGCTTTCCCCCGAATTTTCGAGGAACTGACATACCTGCGCAGTTCTTCAGCTTGTCTCTGATACCACGGGGAACAGCAGGGGTAAACTGTTAGTATAGGAGCCTTAATACTCAGAATAGGGTTTTGGGGGGCACATTATCAAGTAAATCGGTAAGGGAACCCCCCAAAATGGTATTGGCAATCGCTTAGGCCCCTATATTCATTAATGCTTTTAGGCGCTTGCACTGCGAGCCGGGAGCTGAGTAGTAGAGGTGGCCGCGGCCCTTTTCTGCCAGCGACTGCTCTTTGAATATGGCGAGTGTAGTGACCTGAGGAGACACTACAGCGTGGTTCTTTAACGGAAGTGCAGACTCTTTCCGTAGGTTCATCCTAGGACCTAGGACCTAGGAGTATTCAGTTGGGTATTTTGTGTTGTGAGCGTCTGAACCTCCTGGTTGGGAGGCCACGGTATTTTGGCTTCTTGGTGCCTCACAATCTTGGGAGGATCCGCCTTATTTGAACTTGGGGCGGAGCTGCAAGTTGAGGAAGACTTGCTTCAGAGCAGCCTTACAGACCAAGCGGTTCGGGAATGACAGGAAACCCAAAACCTCGCCGACCTGCCTGCTTCCCACCGAAACCTTCTCAAAGCGCCCCCACCTCCAAGTCCCTGAACCAACTTTCAGACAGTGCGGTGGGTCACCGCCCATCCGAGACTAGTTCATGGTTGGGAGAGTATTAGAAATTCGAGCTTCTATTCCTTATTGGATTATTGGATTTATGTGCCCATAAAAACTGTAAAATGTTACCCAACTATGACACAAGGAGATCGCAGGAGCATCAAGGAAGGACGAATCGGAGCATGCTCCCTTTGAGCCCGGGCGCCGGGTCCGTGGAGCTGATCATGGCTCCTGGCCACTGGGCGCCACTTTTACGGATTCGGGGTTAGGGTTTAGGGTTTAGGGGATAGGGTTTAGGGTTTAGGGCTTAGGGCTTAGGGTTTAGGGCTTAGGGGTTTGGAGAAGCTCTTCCATTCTAAACGGCGTTCAGCAGTTTCCCAGTCGGAGGCGGTTGGTACGAGAGGACTTGCACGACTGACAGCTGAGGATCTCTGGTTTTTGGGCTTTGGTGGGGTGACCGTGGCCCTCCGAGCCCTGGAGATTTCAGGAAATACCCTGAAGCATTCGGGGATGCGAAAACGGGCACATTGCCCCTAAAACCTCCAGTGTGACGTGACGAAGCATAGGTGGAGACGAGGTGCCAAAGGCGAGGCACTCAGACAGCTCCAGCTTCAAGGCTCCAGTCAGCGGCACAAGGTAAAAGATCGCCACTGCCACGACCTGTGGCTCGTTTTCGGTCGCGGCTTCCTACCCCCCGCCAAGTTCCCCTCAGAAAAGGGGAGACATGAGGGCTTAAAGCCTGAGGGCATGGCAAGAGCCGAAATCAGCGTGCCCAGAAACGCGTGCAGCAAAATTCCTGGGCATGGCTTGGGGCTTGCAGCTTCCACCCATGGCGTCTGGCAAACAAGGGCTGGGAATGCACTCGAATCCGACGCCTCAAATATTCACAAGCATCGACGACGACGACGACGACGTCGACGAAGGACGACGACGGAGACCCCGACGAGGAGGACGACGACTGCGACGACTACTACAATTTCTGTTACGGTTATTGTAAACGCAGCTGTCATTATGACAACGACGATAGCGAACATGACGATTGCTGCTCCTGCTCCTCCGTCGACCCACTGCGGGGTTGCTGCGGCTATTGTGTTCCGAATTTCCGAACCAAGAATGCTAAGCATGAAGGTGTAGCAAGAAAGGGGCAGCAACCCAAATCCGAAAAGTTGGAGAAGTTGAAACAATTGCAATAGTAATACGAGTGCCATCGTCGGAGCGCGATTCTGTAGCACTGTAGTAGTATCAAGTATTTACTTTACTATCATCACAATGATGAGTTCATTGGTTATAAGAAAGCAAGAGCCACAGCCCTTACGACAAACAGAAGTTGACTAAAATTCGGTAGCGGTGCGGGTGATGTTGTCGAAGAACTGTTGGCTCTTCATCCCGTAGCCTTCGGCGAAGATGATGGGGGCGATGAATACAAGCCTTGGTTTGCGCGGAAAACGGTTGACAAACCAATGCTGGGCTCGGTCGCAGGTGCAGGGAGTGCCATAGTTACATCCATCTAGCACTCGTTCAAAGCCGCAGCCTTCGAGCTTGGCACTGTGGGAGCAAATGAACCCCCATGAAACTGCGAACGAGATGGGATCGGGACGGCAAGGGCATGGGGCCAGGGTCGAGTGAGCCACATTTATCTGGGTCTGGAGTTCGTTGAGTGACAGCTGGAGAACGGATATGGTCACGAAACCGTTTGGTTGCTGGATCCCTGGCTTTTCGCCGTCTGCGTGTCTGTATAAGCAAGGGTGTCATTGTGGGGAAGATGCTCGTGGAACGACCTTTGAAGCCCAACAAAGTTATACCCCTGATGGAGAGATTTAGCTTTATGACAGGTCGCATAAACTGCCTGGCAGACATGTCCTCCAGCTTCTGAAAGGTACTGCGATTTACCTGCTCCGGTGGTGGCTGTCAGTGTGCAAGCTTCAAACAGTTCAAATACTGTCAATGCCCTGCGATTCCACGCACAAGTGGTGGCTTTTTCGTTTCACATGATGTCGGCTCCGCTTGGCCCTCAACGGCCCAATTCGCAGTCTTCCTCTGTTGGACAAACTCTGGTGTTGGGCTTTCGGACTTCGATGTGCGCAAATGACCAATGTTACGAGATTCCACCCTCCCGCCTTTCCACCATTGGAGAAAGCCCCAACAGCAAAATCGCACAAACATATCATCATATATAGCAGCCTTAATAATTAGAATAGGGTTCTGGGGCCCCTTATAGTACATCTATAACGCGCCAGGGCTTTGTTCGCGCGCGCGCAAAGGCGCGCATGTTGCAAATTCGTTGGCCCTGCCAATGAATTCGAGATGTTGGGCCACGCAAGACTGTCCGAAAAAATGCTGTATTTTTCTCTTCAGGCGAAGAGCTGCACGTCATCATGGCTGGCACATGGATGCTCTGCGGCAATGGATGGAGTCTGATCTGCACGTCATCATGGTTGGCACATGGATGCTCTGCGGCAATGGATGGAGTCTGATCTGCACGTCATCATGGTTGGCACATGGATGCTCTGCGGCAATGGATGGAGTCTGATCTGCACGTCATCATGGTTGGCACATGGATGCTCTGCGGCAATGGATGGAGTCTGATCTGCACGTCATCATGGTTGGCACATGGATGCTCTGCGGCAATGGATGGAGTCTGATCTGCACGTCATCATGGTTGGCACATGGATGCTCTGCGGCAATGGATGGAGTCTGATCTGCACGTCATCATGGTTGGCACATGGATGCTCTGCGGCAATGGATGGAGTCTGATCTGCACGTCATCATGGTTGGCACATGGATGCTCTGCGGCAATGGATGGAGTCTGATCTGCACGTCATCATGGTTGGCACATGGATGCTCTGCGGCAATGGATGGAGTCTGATCTGCACGTCATCATGGTTGGCACATGGATGCTCTGCGGCAATGGATGGAGTCTGATCTGCACGTCATCATGGTTGGCACATGGATGCTCTGCGGCAATGGATGGAGTCTGATCTGCACGTCATCATGGCTGAAGCTTCTTCGAGGCTCAGAGGTCTGCGGGAACAACCCGGACACGTGCAGGAAATGCTGCAAAAACCAGTACTTTGGCACCCTCTAGAAGCAAGAATGCCTGAAAGTACTGCGCCCGGCAGCAAAATCGCAAGCCTGAACCCGTCGCATGTTGCGCGCGAACAGGGCTCTGGAGGGTACAACAAGGAACCGCCAAAAACAGTACAGGTAACTACTTAGGCCCCCCCCTAAGTTGCAGGCGCACCTCCGGAAATGCCGCGGCCACGGCTCCCAGGCCGATCCCCACAAGGATGGTTGAGATGGCCTCTGCAGGCTGCAGCTTCAGATCGGAAATCATGTTGCCACATGGGTGGTTGTCAAAATTCGGGTCCCTTTTTGGGTACCCTGAACATTAGGTTATAAGGTGCCGTGTTATATTAAGGACCCAAAAACGGACCATAGTTTTGACAAACACCCACATAGGTTTCAAATTAGTGGTTTTCATTTGTGCTAAAGGTGTGTTGAGCTAACTGACTATTGTGATTCGTGTTCCAGGTGCTTCAGGAATACTACTCACAATACTCTTTGACCATTACGTCGGAGACTTGGGCGACTGCTGCTTTTGCCGGCATCTAGAATGGCCCGACTGGTGCTATTTCTGCAGCTTTGGCCCCAAGCATTGCTAGGGTAGCAGATGTGCTATTCTATTACTTCAACATGCACGCTCGCACACACTCACACCTTTTGCATCTATCTCATATGTATATACTAATATATATATATATATATACACATATATATATATACACGCCTATATACATACAGATGTACATCGACATACACACATAAATACATACACACACACACACACATACATACAGACATACATGTATGTATGCTTGTGTGTATGTATGTAATTATGTGTGTATGTATGTATGTATGTACGTATGTAGGCATGTATGTGCACACGGACATGTGCATACACGTT